CGCCGAAAATAAGAGTCAAAATCGTAATCAGGACCACGGATTACCGCTATAGACGAACTTTGAGTAGACAAAATTTTTTGTTTATCTCGAATTGTGGTCGGCCGGCAGTCGTGACCGTAGTCGCACATCCTCGTAAAAAATGATGACGTAGTGGGCCGGCGGAGCCGCATCGCAAAATTGGTCGTGCCAAGGTCCCTTAGCGCTTAGCAGTAGCCTTGGTAGCCGAAGAACTTCACTTCACTTACTTCAAAACCATTCCTGGACCTTTCTCGACACCAAGCGTCAACGAGTATGTCTTTTTCCCCACGGAGAAAAGAGAAACTACACTTTCGATTGCAAGTTCATGTTCTTCAAGTTTTTTCAAAGTGCACCGGAAGGAATATTCACCTTTCCTTCCTTCCCCTCGGTTTTGTTAATGGTCTATTACTAAATGGGTGACTCTGGATAATGAGGCAATGTTTGACTACACGAAAGACTTTCTTGGGCATAAGCCTACAAACGACCCAAAAAGGTCAAAAAAAATTTTTTTGGCCGAGCGTTTGTCCAGAGGGGTAACCGATGACCCTGATCACGATTTTGACTCCTGTTTTCGGCACTGACACAATTCGAACAGCATAATAAGGATATGGATAATAAGGAACCCTGAAATAATTTGATAACCTGATCATAGGGTATCACCATTTGGAATGTGCCCATCCGGGGAAGGATTCCCGACGCTATCCACTGGGCCATCTGATTACCGACCATTCATGCAACCCCAGAAGTCCGTGCTCAGAAATCGTTCACTTCCAGGGCACATCGTTGTTTGGGAATCCCCAATAGGGGGGTCGTATTTGGTCGCCAGGAGGGGGGGGTTGGGGAGAAAAATTTATTTTGATAGTTGATTTTTCTCGCTTCATGGACGTTGTCAAGGGAGGAGGAGGTCGTATTTATATTTGGCGTTTATGGGAATGGCGGCTGACTCCCCCCCCCCCCGCTCGACGGCTCGATTCGATGAGGAAGGACAGAGGGCTGGGGGGTCGTACCAACTCCCAAGAAAAGGGGGGGGGGTCGTATAGAGTCGACTAAAATCCCCAACCAATGATGTGCCCTGTTCACTTCCAAGCACGTGATTCAAGTAAGACCGCATTTGCAGCTATTATTCACTTCAATTTCAATATTCCCTTTGAAAGAGACCTCCATTCAGCAACGGACGAAAGTTGCAAGTGATTCACAGCACACAGGTTTCTTTCCCCTCTTTTTAGGCATTCCTGGAACAGCTCAGCGAAAATGAAGCCCATTCTTGTGATCCATGTGCAAGGCCCTACAAAATGCATAAACTTTTCTGAAAAAGCGGGGCAGCCCTGAACGACCTTCCTCGTCAAAACAGTAGCGACCCACAGTTGAAGATGCCCAACATACAACGTACCCAGACCCTCAACCTTATCGCGCGTGGCACAGAAAAAGTGTATTACTCGCGAGGAGGCTCCGCAATCAGGGCACTTCATTGGAGGGGATTTAAGTCGAGTCCGTACGACCCCCCTCCCTCCAGCCCTTTGTCCCTCCTCATCGAATCGAGCCGTCGAGCGGGGGAGTGGGAGGCGGGGGTATATAATTTTTGTATATTTTATAATATTTTTTATTATAATTTTTCTCAGCCCAAATACGACCCCCCCCTCTTGGGGACTCCCCAACAACGATGTGCCCTAATCGCAATCCGGCTATTAAGCGCAGAATACGTGATAGGACTCAATCAGCTTAATGCAGCAGCGCTGTGGCAGTTGACTCTTTTCTCTCTTTGAAAGCTGCGAGGAGAGCGTGCCATGTGGTGCCCCCTCCGCGGAAAATACCTTTCTTGAGCGTTTCCTGGCGGTAACGTGATATGGGAAGAAGGGAAGGGGGAGCTCGTTGAGCGATAGCAGTGAACGCCTAAACGTCGCGGTTTGGTCGCTTTGATCAGCGCCAACCGATAGCTGTGATCACCCGATTAGAGCGACCAGTCGCAAGGGATGAACGTAATATCAACCTTGGAGAGGGGAGGGACAGGGGACAACGAACAGATGCATATGCCCCCCTTGCCCCCTCAACGCTCAAAGTAGTTAATTTCTATGCCGCGCGAGGAGTGTGTAAAGGTGATCTGAAAACTATCTAAGCGCGATTCTGACCCGCGCTGATCGCTCTCGGGGTGGAGGCAATTTCCGGTAGAGGAAAGGGATTCGAACACGTGTTAATGACCAAATTTTGCCGATTCTAGAGATGGATGAAGCTTGCTTCGCCTAAGCCGCTTTGCTCCTGTTAAGTTCGGTCCATCTTTTCATAGAACATCACATCATTGCAAAGGTGAGCGATCGAAACCTGTGGATGAAAACTTTTGCGGTTTATTCCCCTGAAAATCAATGAGGGGAATATCTCCGTCACTCCGCCCGTCCCTGATGATTAATCGATCCATCCCAGCGCCACCGAGCTCACAGCGCTGAATCAGCCATTGAAAACTAATGAGCGAGTTCCCACGGATTACTTCCTGTCGATGTTACAATGTGTTCAGACTGTGTAAGTCAAGAAGTTGTTCGAGTAGCGCTCATGTAGCTTCCAACTTGATTGCGACTCTGAAGCCTCGGCTGTCCTGTCAGTTCTGTCACAAATTCAATGGCACAGCTGTCATACTTTCCTTTCTAGAAATTATTTCAGTCCAAAATACGTACACCTCATTCTTGGAAGTGAAGTGAGCGTGGCCTCGCACTTCACTTGAACAAGGCGGTAGCTGCACTTGTGTGAGATTTTTTTGGAACACTTTTACTTGTGTTCTGCACAAAATAGGGAGACAAATTTTTCAAATGGAAATACTTCGCGAAAAAGGCATCCTGCGCCATGTCCAAGTGGAGTGCGCAGCCACGCCGCTGCAAATTTCCCCAAGTTTCGGGGATATGGGGTGCATCTCTATCACTAGTATCATCTCTCTTCGATTTTTGTTTTCCGCAACTTCCCGAGATTTCTGCTCATTTTCCAACGCTTACCGAGTCTTGTAAAAAAGGATAGAGCTTTGTTCATACTTTCGAAGGGAATCTTTTTTGGTGGGAACCACTTTGACATTCGGCACTGAGTATCAAAAATGGACGCAGTTCAGCAGCGGGGGGGGGGCATTTTACACTCTCACTTCTTCACTAATTCCGGTTTCCAAGGCCCATCTGGTGAAACCTGTGAATTTTGCGAAGCTGGAGCAAGCTCGTCGAGCCACCACTTGTTAAACCTACCAAGTCACGAAAAGGCTCTCTAGATGGGTCGCTACGACGACGGGAAGTAGCGAAAGTGCAAAATGCGCCTCCCCCCTATTCATAGCCGAGTTACCGCCAAAAAAACGTTCTGTAAGGTTGATTTCCTCTCGATACTCTTACCTCTGTTCACCTAGCAGCTGTCACGAGCTGCGTTCCATATGCCCAGCTGTCCACGTGATTCCATACCACACGAATTCGTACTATTAACTTCTACTAGAGTTCATCAGACGTGGAAATATGTTTGAACAGCTCTTTTAAATAGGCTGCCTACCGATAAGCCATCTGTCAACTGTATGGATTGCTCTGCGACTAAACGCTAGCCCAGGGCACATCATTAGTTGGGGATTTTGTTCCAGCGAACGACCCCTCCCCTCTTTTTCAGTGGGGTTGGTACGACTACCTCTTCTGTCCTCATCGAGCTATCGAGGGCGGAAAATGGTATATGGTGCGCATGAAACAGCAAAAATCACTAAGATCAGCAACCTCTCTCAGAAGATCAGAAGGCAAATACACCCCCTCCTCCACCCACCCTCACAACTAGCAATTACGACCCTCCCCCCTTCACAACGCCCCTGAAACGAGAAAAATCAACTATCAAAGAATTATTCCTCAGACCAAATACGACTCCCCTGTTGGGGAGTCCCCAAAGATGTGCCTTGCGCTAGCGTTCACAGACTGTTATTTTGGTTAGTTGACTCGTCCTTTCTACTTGGATACATTTTGTCGTTCGCATTCAAACGAACATTCACAGTGCTGGCATAGCCTGAACGTGGGGCAGACCACGCACATATTGTGCCGTCTGCGCTCTCCAGTCAAGGTAGTGTCTGGTGAAGGCTTTGAGCATGAGCAGGGAACAGGTGTACAAAAGTCGCAGTCTACTCTCGAAAGCTGCTCGTCTTTCCCAACCGGAGCTCACTATACCCTGTGTAAGTCACAACATGGGTAGTTCCCCGGTATCGTATTTTACCATGGGGAAATTTTTTCCTGATTGTTGATTTTTCTCATTTCGTGCGCTCCCTGTAGTCGTTAGTTAGCAGGGCCGCAAAATTACTACTTCTAGTTGGACAGGATGTTTCCCTCCCACTCTTTTCTAATTTTGTGAAAAATTAGTGCGAGCGTAGCTAGACAGTGAAAGGGTTCATCCCGAAGGAGAAAATTAGGGGGAGGGGTGGGGAGATCGCACTTAGCGAAAGTTTCCCACAAGGTACTCAAGCATTGCTCTCAGCTTGATTGGACCCCCTTCCGAGTGACGTACAGGAACAAACAATCGCGCTCCACCGCTAATCGCGAAGCCCGGGTCGCAAACCTTGAACGCTGGCAAAGGTGCGTTCATAATTTGCGTCACCGTTCTGGGCGGCTAGGAAAGAATAGGTATCGATCCAGTCCGTTAGCAGCGCTCAAAATGCTTACGGACGCTTGAACGCTGGATCGATATCCACACTTTCCTAGTAGCTCAAAACGCTGACGCAAAGTGTGAACTCATCCTATCTCTAGCTGTCGACGCGGCTTATGTAACGCGTCACTACAAGTCAGAGCAGGTGTACTTTTGCAACAGAAGCATGAACAGAAACTTCCACAAAACTGTTTTGTGTATTGTCTGGAATTCCAAATAACTAAGGAGTCAGAATGTGCTACTGCTATGTCCCCAGAATAGTATTTTCTTTTATTAAAGTGGAGCCTGTTTCAGATAATTTTATATAACAACAAACTATCACTGATAGCAAAACTCGAATACAGACCGTATATTTCGCAGGTCATGACCAGATTTCTTTTGGCGAATGACATTCCGGGTCAAACTGTGTAATCACTGTACTATCACTATAATGACTACTGACCAATGAGCGCATTTTGAGCAAAACGAAAGAAACTATCCCAGATGAATGAAAAAAATGATGATTGAGATGATCAGGAACTTAATAAGGGATTCTTAAAAAGCATCTAACGAAGATGATCAATAATGACTTTTTCAACACAAACTATTAAAATATAAAAATGATATAATCTCTAGGAGATATATGAAAAAGTCATTTGAGCAACCTAAAAAGAGGGGGGGGGTTCAAGTATGACGCGTCGACGTCAAAATGGATGTTGATATTGAGAACGACGTTGGTCAAGCTTCGACACGTTCCTAGTAAAACAGTTGGGAAACGGCTGACACCTAATGATAGTACAAACAATACAAACTAATTCTGAACATCCCTAGATAGAGAATTATTTGGTCGGGAGAATGATATCCTTTGTTTATTTTTGACAAAGATCAATGAGCGATATTGTGTCGCAATGCAGACAAGTATCTTGAGGGTGCATGCATCAGTTCAACCTTCAGAGATCTTTCTTCTGCAATGCAAGGTCCGCTGGTGGTTCCACTGAAAAATGCATTAATATAATTGTAACAAGTACGACACATTCTCACACCTGATCAGATAACAATCTTACTACAAAGTGCAGCATTTAGGTAGCGTTCAGACTTCGCGATGACACAAGGACGCGTTGTAACGCGCGTCGACGCGTATAGTTGCAACAGTGCTCTAATCTTGTAAACACGAACGCACTCGCAGACTTGAATCGCTCAGCACGGCTGCTAGTATATGAGAGCAGATGGGGGCAATAGAGGGAGCGGAGCCAGGAAACAGAGCCTTACACATCCTTGTGAAGCTCATCCTTTTCCCCAATACTCTCCCAAACACACAGGCGTCTGCGTCACTCGTCCGACGGTATTCGTGTCTATAGCCTTGGAGCGCTGCTGAATTGTGATGCATCGCAGCGCGTCGACGCGCGCCATCGCGAAGAATGAATGCGCTCTTAGCCGAGTGTATATGACCAGTATGGGTGTGGAATAGTCTTGCAGAGCAGACATAGCCATGCATCCTTTCCTAATCACGTTGGCCCAACAAGTGCTATATCTGCTCAATAAGTCAAGTCTCATGCTCGTGCGTTTCATGCAAATGACTCATCCGGCAACCTAAAGTGAAGTTCAGGAAGTTCGAGTGCCGGCATCGCACGAAACTAGTTCCTAGCTAGTTGACTCGACATAGGCCTTGAGCATCATATGTGTTAAGTTAGCGTAGACCACGTCCTAACCGTTCATTTCGGTCTCAGAATATCTGCCAACCAGGAGGCCTGCCCCTCCTCCTCTTTTTCCCCTCTTCCTTATTTTCCTTCTTCCAAAAGCTTGTCCAGACGAGAAAATACTTCTGCTCCTTCGCAGCAAGAGAATATCCGGTTGAGAGAAGTCCTGCAGCGTTAATTTCATGCCATTTTTCGAAAACGGAAAGTTGATTATCACTTTCATTTTCAAGCATTGAATATCATTGTGTGAAGGAATGCCGTGCATTATTTTAATAAAACCGTTTTACTCTGAATGTGCTCTGCTGAAAGAGAAGAATGGTCGATTTACTGATTATTTACTTTTTGATTTGATTGTCACTCACGCTAGGAGTCGAGTTTTCGAGAAAACATTGCGAAATAAACAGCGCAGGACGTCTGTCGAGCGGCCATGACTTAACTGACTTGATGTCAAACTGCAGCGTCGAGCCAACCAGCTAGGCGTACTGACAGTGCGTCCATATTTTGCGATCCCATCGCTTGGATTGGGCGACGCCACCATTCGTGAAGTATGAACGCAATCTCGTTGGTTTGTTGGCCTCGATGCCACAACTCGGATCTACCGTCCTACATCCACTTTCCGATGCGTGAAAAAACCCACCCTGAGTTTATTTCAGGAGACCTTCGAAGTGGGTACGTTTTTTTGTTAGGACAACACAATCACGACACTTGTAAACAAGTACAATACGCGGACAGAGAACATGCACATCTCATGCGATTAAACTTATTTGACTGAAAATTTGCATCCATCACGCCCTGCACATTCTCCTTGTCCAACACAGCCGACAGACGTAAAGACCATCGAGGCGACAGATTGCCAGAATAACACCCCACGAAGAGAAACACAACGACACGAACGAACATGATCACGACAAACAAAAATATACGGTACGAAGTTGTGATTAGAAAAAAAAACTGACCGAGAAAGAAATCTGTTAAGCGAACACTTAGCCCGATACCGTACGGGGAACACCACAAAGGTACAGAACTATCTATCACTGCAATTCACGTTTATATATTAAATCACACTAGGTAAAACACTTGTGTAAATAAATTATATACTATGAAACAATTTTGAATAAATAAAAATTGCGCACATGCGCATAACAAACATGGAGAGACCATCTCATTTGTTTTGGCCATTCCAGATGACTCAATTTCAATGTTACAACTAAGTATCATGTGTAGCAATTATTATTATTAATTCAATTGAAGCAGAGTGCAAAAGAAACACACTAGGTACTTGTATTTGGCAACAGAGCGACAAGATTAGAGACATAAAAGTCAACAAACATATAAAAAATTACCTCGACGAAACCTATTGAATTGAGACATATACTAGCACAGATCAACGGAACAATAGGAATAAGCGGAAATAAAAATAAAAACGGAAGGAAGACGGATAGAATCCCGCAACGAAGCACCCGAACACCACAAGCTCCGTTCGCCTGCTAGGGGTTGGATCAAAACTGTGGATAGCGAGCACTTTGCGATGGAACGCTCACATACATAAACGGAAATAATAAGTGTATGGAGAAGGCGCTAGAAAACCCCTGATTTATGTGTAAACATCGCATGAGCAGCTTATGATGGAGAAAACGAAACGGTCAACGGACCTAACAACGACACTCCATTCGGTTAGTGATAGAAAGGAAATATCACACGCTCGATGATAAGGAACAGATAATTTCAGAGGTCGTTAAAGGATTACAGTTCGGTATGCACACGTAGAGGGCCACCAAACGCACGTTCAATACTCTTTGCATAAGGACCTAACATCCAACCGAAGTACGCACACCACATAGCACTAAGGCCGATCAATAAGATGATCGACCGTATGCTGGCTGCGCGACTAGCTGGCTTACCGTCGACGTAGTTGCGGGCGATGAATTTCAGAATTTCGTCAAGAAGTAAAACTGGGAATGAGATCTTTAACACTGCCATCCATTCGGCAATAGACAAAGGAGTGATCTGCAAAAATCTCATTGAAATAGTGAGATACCAATAATCGTTACCTACACATTGCACTGCTACCTGCTCGGTGGATCTCTTCTAAAACGATGATCCTTGCAAAGACGATAAAGGCGCGGCGCGATTTGGAGCGCAGCCGATGCGGCCTTGTTGCAACAATGATGTCATCCTGAGCCCGCTACAAAAAGTGAGAAACTGCCTGGCTTTGTCCAAAGCCCACCACATGCTCTATCGTTCGGAGGGATTGTAACTGTATGTGCGAGGTAAGCAGGTCTGTAGATACAGAAACGTATCTTGTTCGCCGTGATAGTGTGCGCGGAAATGAAATGTGCTCGACAGCTGCGATTGCTAGGTGCCCTTTATGTCTCCGTCCATCATTATTACGCGACGAACAGACCCTAGACACGCAACACGTCACATGTACAGCTGTTCGCCTAACAATGCCTGCATGCACTCCTGCAACCTTTTCACATTTAGCAATGCCGCCATTGTTCCTGTTCACTGCAGAACCGTGATAGAGGTGTTGGCAACACGCCCGCACTGCGACTTTCGAATGGTGTATCGAATAGGGGCGGGGGTGGAACAGGTCAGAAGACCAACCTATCACAACCTCCCAGAATCATTTACGCGCAAATCCGTGTGGCGAAATCGGTGATTTCTACGGCCGTGGACAAGCAGACCTTGCACAGTGCACGTAGAGGAGATCCATCTCGCAGGTAATTGTACAGTGTGTCTTTAAGTCTTATATACCTGGAAGATAGTGGCCATGATGTCTACGTAGAGGATGATAAAATGAAGCGACATCGACAAAGCTATAGCCGAACACAACCACATATTTCTCCAGGGCGGCATTACAAGCAACGATTGATTTTCTGATAACCTGTAAAAACCAGACCCTTAACAAAACTGTAAAATGGATGGGCACAAGAAACTAACGAGTTGACTGCGTTGAGCATTTCAATTGTCACGAGTACGGAAAGCGCCATGGCATTAGGATGGTTATCTTCGAATACGGCGCAGTCAAGATCAGCGAAGTTCTCAGGTTCAATCTGAAGCAACTCTGATCAATTAGGAACGGGTTTACTCAACATGAACAAATACCTCGCATCTCATCCAGTGAGTAAGTTGATAGTAAGTAATCTGAGGTCCGTCTTCGTAAATGAGGAACCACCACATCGCTGCTCCAACGGTAGCAACTCCGACATAAGCTTAAACGCAATAGATAAGGAATGATCAAGGAATACTGTAAAATTGACGTACTTCCAACAGCCAAATAACGGAAGAAGAGCCATCTGGAGATGAGTCCTTCACTAGCAGATCGTGGATGACGCTCCATAATATCCAGATCGGGTGGATTGAAACCAAGTGCAGTTGCTGGCAGACCATCAGTGACCAAATTGACCCACAAAAGTTGAACAGGGATGAGAGCTTCCGGGATGCCGAGAGCAGCGACAAGGAAGATGGACACGACTTCTCCAACGTTCGATGAGATAAGGTATCGAATGAACTGTTTCATATTGTTGTAAATAGCACGACCCTCTTCAACAGCTGCTACGATTGAGGCGAAGTTGTCATCAGCCAAAACCATTTCAGATGCCGACTTGGCGACAGCAGTTCCAGATCCCATAGCAATTCCGATTTCTGCTTTCTTCAGGGCAGGCGCATCGTTGACACCATCTCCAGTCATAGCTGTGATCTGCAAATACAATAGATCTAGGGAGCTAAGTAGACGATAAACTCATCATTTCTCGACATTGCTATTATACTTATGATGAGGCAGATCTATAGGACTGCGTTCACACTTCGCGACTAAAGGATACAGTCGCGCGACTCGGAAGTTGCACAATTGCGCTCCCTGCTAATTGTTCGACCGAACCCGCAGCCATTCAAACCTCACCCAAGAGAGTGTCGCTGGCAACCTTCACAACCACCTGGCGAATTGCGGTGGAGCGCGCTCGACTGCTGCCGCGCGGTTAAATGACTTGGATCGCAACGTATGAACGCGGCTTATGCTACTCTGCCATGAATAAAGTCAGCGATACTTTCAAGAAGTTCTAAAAAGAAAGTTCCTGAAAATCCTCTGAGACGATGATCCAATTGCTGAGCCATAGAAAACATCGCCACCTCGAAATCACCCTTACCTCTCCGTGACTTTGCAGAATATCGACAATTTTCGATTTATGGGCAGGTTCTACTCGAGCGAAAAGTTTTGCTCGTCGGCAAGCGTCTGATTGCTGCTCAGGTGGGAGATCGTCGAATTCTCTTCCAGTGAATGACTGCAAAAAGAAGACATTAATCTCAGTAATTGAAATGATTAAAGCAACTCTGAAACTAACAAGACCAGTGGTGTCTTCGTCCTCAGTGAAAAGACCGATACGTCTTCCAATGGCTTCTGCTGTATTCTTGTTGTCACCAGTGATCATTATCACACGAATACCAGCATGATTACATTCCCTGATCGAGTTCATTACCTGAATTAGCTCAACTTAAAGGTGCAAACGAAACAGTGGATGTGAGCATGCCATACCTCAGTACGTGGAGGATCAAGCATACCAACAACACCGACAGTTATTCGCGCGTTACTTGATGATACTGTGACGCTGCTTTCGAGAATTCATTTTGACGTCCGTGACCGGGTTATCAATAGTTCCCAGAGCGAGGCAACGGAGAGTGTCTCGTCCAGTACCGTACTGCACGCATTTTTCGACAATCTTTTGTGTCATTGCAGGCGTGAGCGGTACTTTTTGGTTGTTCACTCGTACATGGGTGCATCTGCCAAGGACTCCTTCTGGGGCGCCTTTTACGAACATCTTAGCACCTGATCCACCTGTCGCCGGAATACAGTATGACGACATCGATTTGCGATCACGGGAGAACTCCAGAGTGAACTCCTGCAGTACAATTTATATTATTTATACTATTTAAGTGAATAATTGGGAAGAGAAAGGGCAGAAAATGCTTACCTTCTTCCATTTCTGCTGAATAACACGGTTACAGACATTACCAAGGTCACGGGCTGACAATCCAGACTTTGGTGTGCCGTAAACATTCATCTTCTCAGCAAGAACAACCAGAGCTGTTTCAGTAGCTTCTCCGACCTTGAAAATAGCGTTAGAATCATTACTTCACAATGCTATAATCCCTTCCACTTTAGGGCCGAAAAAGAAAAAAATTTAGGTTTTGGAAAAAAAAACTTACGCTAACGCGCTCACAGTGATTAGCAATCTTATCCTAGCGCTTACTAATCTGTAGCTCTTTTCATTTACTGTCTTTTGCCTTTCTTCGTTAGCAAATTGAAAAACGCCTCAGAGACTTTGGGCTCTATTTACCCTTTACTGCACTATCTTTCGAGAATCCGATCAGGTTTTAATCGAAGCTGCTACCCGTCGGTAGCCTTGGACTGAAATTTTACCCTCAGTGCTTTCACCCCGAGGCGACCTTTGACACAAATGTCACCACCTTGGAGTGAAAACCTCCGATTCTAGCGCAGCGGGTATTGAAACCAAACTATTTGCAGCACTTGCGCCCGTGGCGCGAACGTCAGGCACGGTCATGTTGAACTTACGTGATACTCGTGCTCATACTATCTTTGGGGCCAAAGTTTGGGCGAACTGACATTAGAAGAAACTTCAGAATTTGGTCCGAATTTCGGAAATTCGAGCATTGAAGGGTAGACAGTGCTGATTTCTGGTCTGGATTTCATTAAACTATAGTGAGTTAAAAGGTCACCCCATTAAAAAAATCATCCAAGTACCGCAAGAGTAACAAAATAAGCCCACTCACCTTCTCGTAGACCTTCTTTGTGTCATTGTAGTCCACAGCAGAATCGTTACACATGGCACAAATGGTGGCAATCTCAGTGAGAGCTTCAAAGTCACCACCAGCACAGTTGACCTGTGACGCGATGTTGAAGGTAAGCAAGTAAAAATATCAGTGAAATTCAAGAATTACCTCTTTTCCATTGTAGAAAACTTTTCCGGAAGGTTCATAGGTCGATCCAGTGATAGTGAATTCATTGAAATCAATGTTGTCGCCCGATGCATGCTGTGCGATGAACATTTTCGACACAGACATTTGATTCGTTGTCAGGGTTCCGGTCTACAAAAATGAAAATCACATTGAAAACCAGCGCATTTCACAGCAATTGAGGTGTTAACGAACAGTACCTTATCAGAGCAAATGACTGAAGTGCATCCAAGAGTTTCCACAGAGGGCAAGGAACGAACGATAGCATTCTTCTTTGCCATCCGCCGAGTACCGAGGGCAAGACAAGTGGTAATAACTGCTGGAAGACCTTCAGGAATGGCTGCTACAGCAAGTGCTACAGCGATCTGTAATACGAGCCCTAAAACCACTTCGTACGTAAAAAAATGGAGGACCCACCTTGAAATAATAGATGGCGCCTTTGATCCATGAGCCGCCGTGAGCAGGATCATTGAAGTGACCGATGTTAATAGCCCACACAGCGACACAGATGATGGAAATGACCTTCAATAGCAAACTCATGGTCACATCTAATACGAACGTACTGCTACAGCAGGACTCGCTATAGAGTTCGGCTTAGGAGGTATGGGTATCACAATAGTTTATAGGGGCTTATGCCTCCCAATGAGCAGAGTTGCGCTTCATCACGTACTGGTACATATGAATGCCACTATTTGCAGCCACATGCTCACCTTAGACAACTGCTCTCCGAATTCGTCGAGTTTTTGTTGGAGCGGGGTCTTCTCGGTTTCGGTTTCAACCATTTCAGTTCGAATTTTACCGATCTCAGTGCTCAATCCAGTACCAAACACAATTCCTTGGGCCTGAACAATTCCGTAGTAATTACATAAACGTGTAAGAAACTGGTCAACTGCTCACCTTTCCAGAGGCGACATTTGTACCGGAGAAAAGACAATTCCTTTTGTCTTGATTCACGGCACGGGGATCAGGAACAACGTCGGTGTGCTTGATGACTGACACAGATTCACCAGTAAGAATAGACTGATCGATACGTATCGTTGTCGAGTAGATCTTTAGCAGTCGAAGGTCAGCGGGAATTTTGTCTCCCACTGAAATAAACCTTTGTTAGAAAGATCGAAAACCAATCCAACTTTTGACGAAATTATTGCCAAAAGACTTATAAATCAAACTTGCAAGGATTGGGCGATACAAAGATTTAAATACTAAATAACCGTGATAATACATCCAAAGAAAAATAGTAGAACTAGCAACCCACCAGATACTTCAACAATATCTCCTGGAACAAGTTCACGCGCTCGTATCATCTGTATACCATGGCTTCCTGATCGCACAACTTTAGCCATCTCCGGTTCGTACTCTTTCAACGCCTCTATAGCGGATTCGGCATTCCGCTCCTTTAAAATTGAAGATTTACTGTCAGCGTGAGAATTCAAAAGAACTAATATTTTGAGCTGTTGAATGTTGTGCTGAACAAGAAAGATTTATGTGCCCGTATCCATTTCAGTAAAAAAAAGATGTCAGTGGTCAGAAGTTTAATAAAAGCGGGTTCATTCTTCAAGGCGACCATGCGGGACCGCTCCACTGCCAGTCAGTGACCCGGGGCAATGGCAGAATCCAATCTGGCCGCGTTCATGCATTGCACTAATGCGGTTCAATTTAAATCGTGCCTTTATGTAGGTCGCAATCGTTGTCGCGTGATCGGACCGTGAAGTATGAGCGCGTTTCAATGACGCAATTCGGGTAGGGTGAGTTTTGAAGGATTTCTGGTATCAGACTGGGATTACCGCGAGGGAGATTAGGATTCCTTCCTCGAAATACAGCTGGGAGAAAGAGTGCCAAGTGGGTGACCGAACTTCTTTGTGCAAACATGCGGCAATTCCTCTTAATTACCCACCAAATTACGGTTCGGGAAACAGTCACAACATCCCTAAGGGATCGGAAGCATATGAGGTGGCAATCCGCACTTAATCAGGGGAGCATTTCAAAGAGTCCTTGCGAAAAATTGGGGCTCTCTTGATGAAGAAGAGGATCCTTGCCTCGGAGAAAAGAAAAGCGTAGTGCGTGGTGAGACAAAACCAATTTCGTCTTACAAGAGCGGTCTGCATGACGACAAGCACAGCTCTGCATTAGAAGTCCCTTAAATGCCCCTCCAAGTAGATCCGTTCCCAGAACCTTCTAAAGAAAACTATGTGCTCAAGCAAGGACGTTGTTTTTACAGTTTATGCCAGTTCACGCACCCGGGGGTGCCGATAGCCGCAATTCACCAAAAATTACGGGAAGAAAACAGGAACAAATCATCAAACAACATTATTCAAAAGATACCTACCTGCCAAACTCCGACAGTAGCGTTTGCTATAAGAATAAGGAGAATAACGAAAGGTTCAACGAAAGCGGTAACGGCAGATGTCTGGTCATCATGTTCTTCAAACAGAGCTAATACCTGAAAAGAAAACCAATAAGGCTGATTCTTC